ATTTGTAACATTAGGTCACCATGAAATAAAGAAAGCATCGTACACCCTTTTTAAGTCGTCTTTGAGTGTTTTAAATGTCCTGAGAACGACTGTCACTTGTCAGTGCAGTCGGATGATATATATCTAACACAACCACCAACAAGTATCACCGGCGTGTAACTTTCCTTTTACCTGACATGGTCGACCCCACTGGTTACGACTTCTCATTGAATCCCCAGGTAACCTCCTTTATAGGGCTAGTCGTCGCTAGGCACCAGAATAATTATCAAGTGTTAGTTTGCAGGGATCTTATTGGTTGCAGGGTTGATCACGAGCTGACATTAGCTAGAGAACCACCAGAAAGCCTGGGAGTATTACACAGGTGTCTCGTCCTAGTACTTGGATCTCACTCATCAGTAGGCATCCACCGAGGTTCGAACCCAGGACCTTCTGGCTACAAGGCCAACTCACAGACCATTCAGTAAGGTTTACCAAGGCAGTCGAGGGGAAAGTTACTTGCCTGTGACACTGGCTTGCACTTGCGCTAAATATATACCACGAACTGACAGATGTTCCAATGCATGCACCATTGGGTGATGTCCCAGTGGTTGAGTGTTTTAATAGTGCGGCCTGTAACCGGAGAGCCCTGCGTTCGAACCCCAGCAGGTACGTACTGCTGGAGAATCCCAGTAGTTGTCAGCTCTTGACCAATCAGTTGCCTGCAAACCAACATTTGAGTGCAGTTTAATGAGCGGCACTTTCATACATTCAGCTGTTTGTTATTTATTTGAAAGTCAATATTTTTATTTTTTTATTTATTTTGGTTACAGCTTGATGCCACACAATATTTTCAGTACAAGTATGGAATTTTCAGCATGGATATCGGTGGCCCAAATTTTGCAGGCCGAACATAGATATCGGGTGTGCGTCGGCAGGTGACCGAACCTCGGACCATGTGCATGGTCGGCGAGAGTCCTAACCACTGTGCCACCGACGCACAATAAAGATATATGTGTATAATCACGCGCCAGGAAGCTTGTTAATAAACACAGAAAAAGTGAAACCTTTGATACAGATTATATTATGTTCCACGTTTTATTTTAACTTTTGTTTTGACCCATTTAAAGCTTGATTGCTACCTCTTTAAAAGTCCTGTTTTCTTCAAGTAGAAGCAGTTCTACAGAACAAATAAATTTCATAGATTAGTTTCACTTATAATGGCATTTGCTGAGATGTCATAAGCATATCACAGAAATCCATAAACATTTTTTCAGTCCTAAAACTAACTCCTTTTGAGAAGGATTAAGGATCCTCTATATGTGCCATCAATAAATTACGTGTACTGAGATCAGATAGCTGTTTGATAATGATGTGAATGGTGTATGAAATATTTTAACATTTATCTGAATGATCGAAAAGACAAGGAGCTTCATCAACATTGTAATCCAGTTTGTGGTGGCCAGCTATGGAATGTCAAATGCACGTTACCTCCCATTTGAGACTTTTAATCCAGTTATACCTACAACCCCACTGAGTTGTAGTGTCCTTACTGAAACCTGAACCCAATGCAATGATCAAAACCCAATTACGTAGGTCTGAATTTGACAGACTAATCAATGCGTTCCTCCGCGTAATCTTTCAAACTTCTGAGAGTAATGTACAGTTCAACAATATATTACAGAAGTACCAAAATACGTTTTAGCTCGATAGAATATATGGTACTACTCAACACTAATACTAAACCAGCTCAAAAATTCCATCCAGTAGCCATGCACTGCAAAAGTTCCTCAGACAGAAAATACTTACTGCACAACAAGACTAACTGATCGAACACAGTCTTCAACTGCCCAAGACTAAGTGAGAGTATCCGCAACAAATTGGGATCAAAACTCTTTCTGCAAAAATCATACAGAACAAAATATGTCTCCTGTCGACATTGTGAAGCCAAGCAGTCAGTCCACGGAGTAACCTTCACTTCAACCAAACAAAAACTCAGTTGTAAAACATTTTATTGTCAACACCACTGCACTAAAAAAATAGTCATCATGCAAAATCAAGAACAGGACGGAGTTTCCTGGAGTTCTAGTGAGAAGTCGTGACCAGTAAGGTCCATCCAGATGTCAAGTGTGAGGATGGATGTCCCACCGATGATATTGGTTGGTGATCGTGCTAAAATCACGAATCGGTAAATGTTAGAGTTCATGGACTGGCCACTGAATCAGGTCCCATTGGGTGAATGTTTTACGAGCTTGCCTTGTAACGGGGAGAACCTGGGTTCGAATCCCAGTAGGTGCGTACTGCTGATGATTCCCAAACTAGGATGAAACAGCAGCTGTCCAGTACCCTTTGATTTTCAATGGTTCTTTAACTGATATTAATCCGTGATCAACTCGTAAAAAATAAGGATTAAGCTGAAAGAATGTTTACAAATGTTTGAATGATTATTCACAGACCAGGAGAGAATGGTATTAATTACGGAATTAGTTCAAATATTCGAATAACTATCAACAGTGTAAATGGACTGCTATTAATGACGGGATTTTCACATTCATTACTCTCAGCGCCTTTCATTTCAGACGCCAAAGCGTTGTTCACTAACCTACTGAGTCTCGAGTGCCATGTCTTTTGCAGCAACTACCACCTGTTCGTTGTTTAACTTATTTTCAACTTCCTACTCAATGGTTATATTTGACCGAATTGGAAAAAAAATAAGAAATTATATTTGTTGTGCAAGAAGTGTCTCGTGTGGCCCAGTGACCCAGTAAGTAACTCTTTGACATTTAAAATAATGAGTGCTGGATTCACAAGTTTCATTAGGAACATCACTACTCACCGAGGATGTCGGTATATCCTGTAGACTAGCCGCAAATGGTTAGTTGTTTAGATCTCAATAATGTGACGCCAAGCTTTAAGACACACTTATAGTGCATTAGTTGATGATACTATGGTGGTGTGATAAAGACAGTGTGTGCCAACGTGATAATATTCTCACACATACCCACAGTTCATTTCGGCATTAGCAACAGAATACGATATATCTATTTAAACACTCTGTTTGTTGCTAGAGTCAGAATACATTTCCCACGGTTATATAATGCATTAGCAAAAGAATGCTATGTATATCTAAACATTCTATTTCATGTTGTATGATGTAAACCGAAATCACAAGCTCATTGATTATGAGCAATAAATTGTGCTCGAAACGTCATCAGTAAATATTACTGTATAACACTGTGAGACTCTATCAAAATAAATATTTACCCAAAATGGAATTACACTCTACCACAGTGCCCAAGTTTTATTCTTATATCAATGAAGCTCATTGATTAGTTAACGAATATAAACTGTGTATATATATGAACAGCGGCCTGACCAGTGAAAAATATACCTTGGCTTCTGTGTCTTACCCTCTGCTGTTACATTTAGTGTCACTGCCTATGCCCTACACTTTCTGATGGAGACAAATGGACCTTCGGGAGGGACTTCGAGGCTGTTGCGTGGTTAAGTGGCATTCAAGATCCGTTAGTGATGAGGTTGTTACATGGAACGCTGCTGCGAGGTCGGGCGACGGCAACATATGATAGTGTGATGCGAAACACCAGTGAACACGAACCAGGGTCATGCAAACTGCTCCCAAAGTGGGAAGGACCATTCATGATCACTGTGAGACGAGGTCACGTATATACGATCAGAAAGGCAAACAAAGAGAAGCAGGTGAACGTCAGTGAGCTCCGGAACTGGATACATCAAGACAAGCTAACAAAGCCGCCAGCACCAAAAAGATACGACCTACTTCAGTCGAAAGTTTTTGACGGGGAGACGAGTGTGGTGGTGTGCCAACGGAATGTTATTCTCACACATACCCACAGTTCAATTCGGTATTAGCAACAGAATACGATATATCTGTTTGAACATTTTGTTTCATGTTGTCTGATGTAAACCAAAATCACAAGCTCAGTGATTGGTTGACGAATATAAACTCTAGATATATAGACAGCGGTTTGACCAATTGAAAATATACCCTGGCTTCCGTGTGTTGTCTTCTGTTGCTACGATACTAACCAGTCGTCAGAATTTAGATGGGTAGATCAACATTCTAATCACACTTCCCACTACTCAAACATAGTTAGTGATACTACTTTGCTAGCTACCACCAACCAAGCGACATCATTTTTATCTCAAAGTATCGCAGAAGTCTTCCTAATGACAATGTCAATGGAGATGGAGCATTTCTGTTGACAATACAACAACCGATCAACATGAAATTCAAGTTAACCTGAAGACTATAATTCATTGAATATAATAAACAGTTCAATGAATAAACTAATTTCATCCATTTCAGTTTCAAGTATTCTTAAGCTTTAATGTTTACTAAACCTTAACTTTCCTCACTTTACGACATTCCATCCTTCATACAATCAAATATTTTTAAACGGATAGATCATATTGTTTGTCATTTTGTGATAACCATACTGACCATATTTTAATAATTACAGTTGATATTCAGAATCAGAGTATTTTATAATTCTTCCTATAAAGTTCATCATTTTTCCGAAATCGAGTTCTCAGATATCATTGTTTAACCGCCTATAGTATATTTATTTTCAAGTATTAACCTTAATTTATATATAATATATTACTCAACAGCCTTCAGTTTATAAATCTATGGATTTTAATTCATATAGGTATGTAACCTCAATTATAACATCCGAAATAAATTTTAAAAAGTAGTTCAAAAGTGTGTAGTACAGTCAACAGCTAATGAGGCTTATTTCCTGTATCTGAATACGGTCAATGTATATTAACAAGTATAGAGACCCATTACTATTTTTCAGTAAACATAAGCTAAATCATTTTACTGCCTGAACATACATATTAGAGAGTGACAGAATGGATAAAAGGTAGTTGACAGGAGAAGCGATAAATATCTCACCTTTAAATCACTATATATATACATACATCGTGTTGTACTCTAATGAGTTCAACATTGTTTCATGAAAATCTAAGTGTTCAGTGTTAATATGAAACTAACTATATTCGTCTTCGTTGTGTTGTGCATTTTACTCCCATCGACGATAATCACGTAAGTCAAGTACACAAGGTAATCACTTCTGTTCTGTTGTAATGGTTACTTTTAAATATTACTTGTATAACTGTTACCAATTATAATCACACGACTTCGAAACTTCACTTTTATAGTTTTCTTTAGTCTCTCCTATTTATCGTGGTTGGGGTAGTAGAATATTCTAGATGTCCAACTGGACAGGTGTTGAATCATTCCTACTACACGTCTTTGCAGTTGATTCGATAAACAAAGCTTCTGTTATCAATCTCTCCCTCCACTCCGCTGTTACATTAGATTTTAAAACTGTCATCTTATCCCATTCATCCTATTATATGATTATGTGTAATTGCGTGTAATGCTATTTTTTTATTCCTCGACGTTCCCAGTGTAACATAGGACTTCAAGCTGGAGGCTTGAAGTTTCGGTAGCAGGGTTTACTTTTACAGGATGAGGTTGCTAGCCTCATGCCCAACCTTCCCTCTTTACCAGTCTTATTACTGGCTTAGCAAGGTGAAGGAGTGCGTAGGCGGCCAGGGATCGAGCCCCGGACCATGTGTATGGTCGTCGAGCGTCCCAACTGCTGTGCCACCGACGCCCAAATCGATTTACTTAGGTGGAGGAGCTTCCAATGTTAGATTGTGGTGTAAAAAGGAAGGAAGATGGGAAGTTAAACACTAGTGTTTACAGGAAACCCACACATTAAAACAGATATTTAGATTTCCGATCATCCCATCCTATGCCAGTGAAAATAGGATTGGTGAAATGTTTAAGTAATACAGCACAAAAGTTAAGTAGTACCAAGAAAAATCTAAGACAGGAAGTGAGGCACATAAGAGAAGCTTTAAAACTTAATAATTACCCTGATAAATTAGTCAGAAAGTATTTGGGGAAATGTAAAGATAAAATAAATAATAATAGTAGTGATAGTGATAATAATAATAATAATGACATGCATGTCAAACATGTGCAAGAGAATAACAACACCAACTATAAGGAATTTAAATCATCAGTAGTAATTCCATACAAGGAAGGAATCTCGGAAATTTTACAGAGAATTCTCAACAATGCAGGAATAAAAGTGGCTGCCTTTAAAACCGCCAACAAAATCAATTAGAAACAAGCTTTATCGGTTAAAGGATCATTCCTGTGAAGCCACTTAAACAAAACACTTTAGTTTATCTAATGCCGTACCTGCGTTTACTGTCAGGTCAAATACATAGGTCAAACTTGTAGAACAGGGGCAGTCAGACTAGCCGAGCATAAAAGCCTAGCAAAATCTAGATTAGTTGACCCGAATAAGATAGGAAATGTGGAGAATAGTTCAGCTATTGCACTCACCGCATGCAATTACACACAACCATACAATAGGTTGATGGGATAAGATGACAGTTTTAAAATCTAATGTAACAGAATGGAGGGAGAGATTGATAACGGAAGCTTTGTTTATCGAATCAACTGCAAACACGTGTAGTAGGAATGATTCAACACCTGTCCAGTTGGACATCTGGAAAATTCTACTACCCCGACGATGACAAATAGGAGAAAACAAAGAAAACTATAAAAGTGAAGTTTTGAAGTCGTGTGATTATAGTTGATATGATTATGAACAATAAATTTTGTTCGAAACGTCATCCAGTAAATAATACTGTTTCACTGTGTGCTATATCTAATAAACAAATTAATGTGGAATTACTTACTACCACAGTGCCCAAGTTTTACACATATATTGTAAAACTGTTTTTAATTATTACTGTTATTCCTTTGCGTTTGGTAGTTCAGCGTTAGAATGCGCACCAGGCGCGTACTGGATTCGATCCCAAGCCGACACCCTCTCAAACCTCTCTAAGCCAGGTTTGGCGTGAGACTAGCTGTCTCACCTTGTACAAATAAAACCACTGCTACTGAAACTTCAAAACTCAACCGTGAAGCACTATGCTCTACTCGGAACGTAAATGAATTAAATAAAAAGGATTCCTTTGAATTCCTAATGGAACATAGGAATTCAACAGCACATCTGCATTTGACCCTGATCTCTAAAAGATTTTTAAAATGTTTTTACGATTAGATATTAGCTTTTACTTCCTCACATTGGAACGACAGAAGACAATGGCCAGGCAATAGACCACTTATTGAGAAAATCAAGAGATATTTATAGATTTTTATGTACATTATTGTCAGCGGAAAAGAAACGTCTTCTGATTGGTTGTTTTCTTTCTGAAGGTTATTCTGTACTGCCTGTGACCGTTTCTCAGAAAGTTAAGTCATACATCTGTGAATCATATTTGCACACTTTAACTCCGCTGTGATTGGCTGGTGATTTTCTCACGGCTAAGCTTTGTTATTGTTTTTTCTCATGACCCTGATTCGGGACGTAAACATTGACGTAAATTGTTGTCTACAATTTTTGGCTTGCAGACAGCTCTCACCACAACATGATCTCATCCATGTCATACTCGAACACACATCGAAATAATTGCTCACTTCTCTTTCAAGTTTTACTCTAAGGACTACCTGGCATCCAATTTCACTCAAAGGTCTCTCTTCAGCGTGTTGCTAATCCACCTCCATTTTCTTAAGTCTATTTGTTGAGTAACAACGACACATATATGTGACATTTTGGACCACAGTTTCTAAAGTTTTCTAAATTTTACACAAAGATGCATTTCTTTCCGATGCCTAAGGGAATTTCGCCCATTCCCATTTGTGTGTGAGTGTATTAAACACCGTACAGTGTCAGAAATGTAATGACAGGAGACTAAAGGTTTTAAAAAAAGGATGAAGGACATCTCAAAATACACTTTGTGGGGGCTGAGATTCTTTTAAGAATGAACGTGCGGGCGTGTGACTTAACAGTATATATATATATATCCTTTTATCCGATGTATTGTCAGATGGTTAAATAACTGAATCATTTGTGTTATTGCATTTTCATTCTTATAATAAAGTTTAGGAGTTACTTCGATTGGTTCCAAGGTAGATTAAGGGTCACGAATCACCACCAATGGGTACTAGACAGTGATTTCCCTCGTAGTTGGGGACTCTTCAGCACTGCTCATCCATAGCACCACTAAAGATCTAATCAGTGGCTTTCAGGTTACTACATAAGTCCTTCGACCAATCTACCACCTGAATAGCATCAGGGATAGTAATCATTAACTGAAAAAGAGCGATAACAAACTTTCAGTTCAACTAAGAAGATTCATTAGAATCTCAATTGCCAAGTTATCATTTATATTTAGCCATTCATAAACTTAAGCCCCCCTTGTGTATTCAAAAACAGTTTTTTATTACTCTTAACCTACCTTGGTAATCCTTATTTGATTGGATTACCAAACGTTTGTGTTAATTATTCTTAATTCTTTTTTTGTCACCTTGTTTAATTTAACCTTTTCCATATATATTGACTTGACAAGTAAATGTGTGATCAGATTGTTCGAAATGTAAAGCGCTAATACATCACATTTTTCAGATAATCTCCGTCTTCTAATAATGCTATCAAAATTTATATTTTATCATCAAATATTAGTTATATGCTAGTAAACGTGTTAAACATACAACAAACAGTAAAGTCGAGTAGTAAAGTTACAGTATTTATACAGAAACATCAGTGTTATTATTCTGTAGGTCTTTGCTTGTAGATATCCTTTTCAAAAGGATTATCAGCACGGTGTATTTTTGAGATGAGCCAAATATTAAAGTTTTATGCTTACCTCTCATGTTGTTGTTGTTGTTGTTTTATTCCACTTCAGTGCTGAAACCAAAGTAACAGGAAAGCCGAATGTAACAGACGCCAAAGGTGAAGACGAAGACGGCGAAGATGATGATGACGATGATGATTACGGAAAAGACGGTGGAATGGTAATCACAGTAAAAATTTCTCCGCATTATATTAGGTACCAATTCTTCGAGTATTACAGGCTTCGTGTAGACGAGGACGTGTACATGTCTATAAAACAATTGACAAGTATTTGAAAAAAGAAGATTTAGACAAAAAATTATTAGAAGTTGCAAAAATCGGTAAGTTTTTATTTTTTTTAAATGGTTTTTACCTAATAAAAAATATTCTCCTACTTTTTTATTTATTTTATTAGTAGGTAAACGTTTTGAAAAGCGTATGGAATACTTCGCGAAGCAGCTGGATACAGCTTTCAGCTATGAAACATCTTAGACAAATTATTGTATTATTTATATTATAGATGTTTATGAAGAATACAGTTGTTAGTAAATTTATTCAATGCCGTTTTGATGATGCCTTTTGATGTTTTCGTGCCATTTTGGTAAATAAACTCAGTTCTAATTTGATTGGAGACCAGTAACTAGTGTGATGTGTCTAGTCTTTTCTTTGGTGCAGACTGAATTCTGTCAAAAACTTCATGCAATTCTTCCCATTAATAAACTTGAACAAAGCAAGGACAACAATTGTACCAGGATAATATGAGCTCATCTTTTATTATTTCGAGGATCCTTCTCAACTGGTTACAACCTGAACGATAAAAATATGAATTACATTAAAGATTTGAACATACTTTTCCATGATCACAAGGAGTAATTGGTAGGAAGCAAAAGTAACATCAGTTCGGAATTATTTAACTAATTAAGAGTTACAAACTGGCTATTTATAGAATAATTAGACAATTAGGCTTGGAAACAAAAAACAAAGTTGCGTATATATCGAAACAAGGTTTAGCTAGAAAGAGCATAACAAAAAGTGGATTACGTAACTAAAGAAATTGTTTCTTCTAATAGCCAATAGAAAAAAAAGAAAAGAACAAGGTAGGGTGAGTCATGTTTAGATGAGAGAGTAGAGTTTTCTAAACAAGAAAAAGGGTGACTCATACAAGTCTTATATTTTGTTATCACCAGGGCAGTGCAAGATTCACCACTGTCTCTTTCTGCGTACACAGATTTGGTTTAAGTCTTCTGATAGCAATTGCTTCAGCAAAGAGTAGCAAGTTAGGTTTCTTTTGCTTGTTGATTATTTTGAATGACTTCAAGTTGTCTACAATATGACCAGTGTCTAATAGATGACGCGCAATTGCACTGTTTAATACTTGTGGACCTTTCAGTCTCAGGTCCTTTGGTATGTGTTCAGAAATGCGGACAATAACCCTTCTCTCTGTTCTTCCGATGTATGTGCTTTGGCACGTACATGTAAATTGGTAGACACAGTTGTAGGTAACATGAGGTTGGTATTTGTCCACTTTTGATTGTCTCAAACAACTAGTTGTTGTTTGATAAACACATACAAGCTTGGTGGCTGGATATGTTCTTTTCAGGGCAGCGTTCAGTCTGCATCTTATTCTACTAGCAGTATCATCACTTTTGAATGCAAGCTGCAGAAAAATAGGCTTTTTCTCTACTGTGCTGCTTTTCACTTTTTCAACATGACGTCTCCCATACTTGTCGATGAACTTTTGTGAGTAACCGTTGTCGCGTAGGCATTTCTCCACAATGGATAGCTCTTCCTCAATCTTTTCTTCTGAAAACAGCTTCCTTACACGATCAAATAATGTTCTCACCAATCCTTTTTTGTAACTTATAGGACAGAAGCTTTTGAAGTTAAGATAAACCGCCCTCCAGGTCTCTTTCCTGTGTATATATCTCAGGATTTTACCGTCTATATCTCACTGGATACCAAGGTCAAAAAAATGGAACTTCTCCTCTTTTTCATGCTTCATTGTAAACTTAATATTAGGATGGGTGCTGTTCAAGACTTTTAGTACTTGAGATGCATCATTAAAAGAATTACAAATAACGAAAGTGTCATCGACATACCTGGTATAGAAGTTGGTCTGACTGATTGCGGATTTCAGCCTTGTTTGTTCCAGACTACCCATAAAAATATCTGCCAGAATCGGACCCAGGGGGCTTCCCATGGCAACTCCGTCAATTTGGCCGTACAGAATGTTGTTGAACTGGAACTGTACATCTTTGGTGCACATAACTAAAAGTTGTTTGAATTCTATCAGTCAGGTTTACAATGTGGTCATCATTCTAGATAGCTCGCCATCATGGTGTACATTGATCTGATGATATTAGATGGTTGGAGGCAATCGGCCAAAGGAGGCCTTGCTTGACCTAGGTGTCGTGCTAGTTGGCACTCATCAGTCAGCAAGGTGTATCTGCAACGTTGAAGGAACTCATGCCCCTTGTGAGATTTGAACCTGCGTCACACAGTGAGTGCTGCAGTAAGAGACATGGGTTCGAATCTCACAAGGGGCATGAGTTCCTTCAACGTTGCAGATACGCCTTGCTGACTGGTGAGTTCCAGCTAGCACGAAACCTAGATCAAGCAAAGCTTTCTTTGGCCGATTGCCTCCAACCATCTAATGTCACCAAAACTCAGTTCTAAATGGTATTATTTATTTATTTACTTGTATGGTATTCGATGTGTCCTAACCAGCTTTACTAAAAATTCATGCATTCAAGTACTCAGTTAATCAGTAATTTACCACACCTTTAAGTACTAATAAAGAAACACAAATTAGAAAAACTTACTTACTTGATAATAAACTTGCAAGAGCAGTATATCTAAATGTAATAAACGTTAGCTTAGTAAATATTCAGCTGATGATTTGATATTAGAATGCTTACCAGTCACGCATTAGGTCAGCGTCTGACTCCTGGCCAACATTGCCTCGTTAACTGGCCAGTAGGCAGTAAGCCGGAAGAAGAGAGGAGGTTGGGTGAGAGATGAGCAACTCCACCCAATAAAAAGAACACTGTCTCTACTGAAACTTAAAAAGCAGCTTAAAGCTTGGAATGCAAACGTATAAGACATCTTTATTCCTAGTTGTATTTTAATGTGGAAAGGGGAAAGATCCACACATTATTAATGAGATGAAGATATTCTAACGTCGTAATTATGAAGAAGTGGGTAGCTGAAATACTGAAACCAGTTAGAAGGCAAGTGTCTAAGTTTTCAATTGATGATATGTTTAAATTTATTGAGAGTATTAAAAATTTTAATGTCTCAGACAAAGTTATATTCTCATTGGATGTAACGTCGCTATTTACCAATGTACCTTTCATGGAAACTATTTGCTATTGATGTGATTATATTGATACACATAGTTTAGAAATAGGGTTGCCGACGATCCACCTCAAAGAACTTTTATTGAGATGTACGTTGAATGTTCAGCTCACCTTCAATAATGAGATTTTTTGACAGAGAGATGGCATTGCGATGGGACCACCACTGAGTCCTTTGCTGGTTGATTGTTTTATGGCAAAGCTTGAAAACTCTCAACCTAGTCAAACCATCGATCATTTTGGCATTTATAAAAGATACGTAGATGACACTTACGTTTTCTGAAGCAATAACGTAATTCTTACTGATGTCTTGTTTGCTGTCAACAACTGCCATCCTTTTTTACAAATCACCATAGAAAAGGAATCTGAACTAAGTATTCTTTTTCTTGATGTGTGCCTTAGTAGACGTAATGACGGATCTCTCAAAAGATCCATCCACCGGAAACCTACATGTAACGGACAACTAACTATTTTTTTAGTTAGGACGAGAAACATTTGTAGTTCTGATTGCATTGACTCAGAACTTGACTTCCTAAAAGTCACGCTCGCAGAAAATGGTTACCCGAACCGATTTATTGACAGTAACACGAAAGATAAGCAGTCTAAACTGGTCACTGACTCAGTTCCAAAGAAAACCATATTCATGAACTTGGAATTCAAAGGTGATCAAGCTTCAGATATGCTCAAAAACCGTTCTTTGAAGCGAAATTACAAATGACATTCACCAGCCGCAAGTTGTTCTCCATCTCTGTAAAAGATAAGCTCCCCCTTCTGGCCGCCTCCGTGTGCATCTATCAGTTCACCTGCTCTTGTGGAGCAAGGTACATTGGCCGTAGTCAGAGGACGCTTTCCACACGGATACGAGAACATATTCAAGCAGCATGGTTTCACAAGGGAGAAAGGAAGTGTGTGCAAAGCTCTATTTTAGAACATCTGATCGACTCCTGTCACTCTACCAACCCCGACCATGATTTTAAGATCATCTGCCGAATCCATGCTGACTTTCAGCGTTTTCTTCGTTACAGACTTCTAAACACCTTTGGTCTAATCCCCTCACCGGAGGTAATTTTTTAAAAAGCACGTATATACGACTGTACAGCTTGATAATAAATTCGTTGAAAAGAGTCTCTTAGCTGAATATTGTGTACTTAATGTTACAGTGCTTTATTTTTAAACTTGACAATTATACTTATTACGTTTAAGTCGATATCTCGACTTTACTTTGAGGTAAACAAAAACACAGAGGTCTTGATGCCTATTGAGTGAAGACTTAAACATACCTATGGGTCAGCAGAAGAATTTTTTTTCGTAACTTCACTTCATATGACTGGTCACCATTCTACCACTGAACCACAAACGGGTGATAAAACCTAAGTCACTAACTAAAATTAATTTGAACCTTCCTGTTGATTGATTAGACTGAAGTGTTCAACCTCTGTGTGGAAGCTTCGACGATATCTGAGGATTTAACTTGGAGTTATTCGGTGGATGGTGACTAGCAGTTGAATCCAGGATGCATATTTCGTCCTTTGCTAGTCACCACCCTCCAAACTACTTGATTTTAAATGCTCAGACATCATCGAAGCTTCCACACAAGGAGTTGACATGTCAAAAGAGGCCAAGCAATTCGGCCACCAATCAATCAGCGGGAATATCCAAATTGAGTTAAATAATAACTCATACCTGTTGCACCAAAGGTGGCTCTCGTGGACCAACTGGTTAAGTGGATAACGCTTTATTGTTTGAAACAATCGGTACTGGATTAGAGGCTCAATGGAAGCACCATCAGTCACTCCGGGGAATTCAGGTGCATCCAGCTAGCGAGCTCCAAAGAGGATGAAATGCGATTCCTGGATTCCACTGCCAAGTATAATCTTCACATATTATACTGGTGAGTTTTGACCGCTATTACATTTGTTGGCGTACAATGTTGAAAAGATTCCAAAATAGTCCTAAGTGATGCCATTTTGTGGTGACACTCACTGCTCAAGGCAGATTTTCTGTCGACACATTCATGAGGTGGAAGTGAATTTACTCCCAGAAGTTACTTTCTTCGAAAAAATGTACTAACATTC